CAGGCTGCTGGGCCAGGGTGGATCTGGGTAGGAGGGTGTGGGGATGGACGCCATCAGAAAGTGCTTCTCCTGCAGCTCCCCAGAAAGGGCAGCTCTGCTGCAACTGCTGCTCCAGGAACTGGCCCTGACCGCTCCCCACTCCCCTCAATGGCTCCAGGCCACCCTCACACAGGAACTGAGATAACATCATTCTGAAACCCGAGAATGGTTTGAATATTGCTCAGGTACCAAGAGGTGTTACATGGAGGTCGGTCTGGCCCTGTTTCTTCTCCAGTGCCCCCTCCAAACCAAGACCCCCTTTAGGATACCCTTTGCATATTATTTGCACTCATTTGCATATAAATACATCCTGTAGTTTCCTATTGGATATGTAGCCCAGCTTGGAAATGGGCTGTCCTTCGGTCCTGGATACCCCCACCATTATTAGTCCCCTCAGCCCCTCTTCCTGCCCTGTGTCCTCTTTGCTCTCCCTGCAGTAGCTCTTCTTCACAGATGGTGGGTTTGCACTTGCCTCCCTGAGGTTTGGCCCAGCTTTCTCACTCTGTCTCCTTGGGGAGGGGAAACCCTACCTCTGCCCGCCCTCATTCCCCACTCCTATCCCCACCCCCAGGAGGTCCTCCCTGCCCAACCCTGCCTTGCCAGCACTTCCCCAAGTATGAATCATAAGCTGAGGCAGCCAGAGCCTTCGAGGGGGTACTTCTGGTGACACAGATGCTGCCAGTCCAGAGAGTCATAGCTGTGGCCTGAGGTCAGGATTGAGCGAGTCCTAGGGCCATCAGAGCTGGAAGGCCATCCATGCTAACTAACCCTCTGTCTCTAGGCAGCCCCAGCCTTCCCAAACCCTGAGCTCTAGAAGCAGCCAGAGCCAGGTCATCTGGGAGGGCTTCCTAGAGGAGGTGCAGACTGGAAGGAAGAAGAATGGGGCCAGGTCAAATCAGGGGGGAAAAGCTCACATCTGGAGAACAGATGCCCAGGCCTCTGGCTCCTGGCAGTTGGTTAGATAATTAGGCAGAGGGCTAATTAAGGAGGCCCAGGTGTTCATTACAATCTCCATAACTGGGCAAGAGGGAGGCTTGGACAAAATAGGCCTCCATTTCTTTCTAGGGTCAGTTTTAGGGTCCTTTGTGCACACCCAAGCCCTGGCTACTACTCCTTCCAAAGTAACGACTGTGTTCATGTTCTTGCCCCCAGGGTTTTCAAAGATACTGCAACAATGTGGAATGGATAGCAGAGGGGATAGAGAGGAGTGCATCTGGAGCTTGCTTTGTGAGAGGGTGCCCAGGTTAAATGGAGGAAGGACTGGGGCAGTTGGCTTTGAGGTGGGAGCAGCATTGGTGAAGGGACTCTGAGAACATGGAGCTATAAAAAGTGCTCAGGGTTACTCAGGCTGGGATGGAGTAGGGGTGGGGGGCTAGATGGGCCTGGCCTTTTTACCCCTGACTTCCCTTTGTCAGAGGATGCTCAGTGGGTCTCTGTGGTTTCCCTGCCTTCTCAGCCCTGCTCTCTCTTGCATCCCAGCTCCCCCAGCATGAGGCGGGGGTGGGGGGGGGCGGTGTAGGAGATCAGCCAGGGAGCTGGTTGCCAGGCGACAGTTGCCTAAGCAACCCCATCCTCTCCATCTCCATGTGCTCATGGCTGCTCCTTAGAAGACTTTCGAGTCTCACCCTCTGCACCAGCCAACCCAAGGGTGGGCGAGTTGAGGAGAAGCAGGAGTGGTTGGAGGGAAGGTGGTGTCTGGAGGGACAAGATTCAGGGGTAGCCAGGAGAGCAAGTTTCTCTATCCACAGAGGTTAGAGTGGGAGGAGCTGGTCCTGGAGCAGGACTGATGGAAGTTAGATTTAAGGAAGACTTCTCACGGGGTCACAGCAATGAAACAGTTCTTTCTATCTTTCAACAGACGTTTCCTGAGGCCACCTTACAGGGGATAGACAAGTGGAAAAGACAGATGTGTTTCCTACTCTCAGGAAACTTCAGTCTTATAGCAGAACCAGGCATTAAATAGAAGCGCAGAATTATAATTTAAAATTGTGTTAAGTGCTAGAAAGAAAAGGATACCCTGAGAGCAAATGTTGAGGCAACCAAAGGAATGAGGTTAGATGGCAGGAGTGACAGTACTGAGGGTCCTGCAAGCAGAGAGGTGCTCTCCCTGATGGAGGAGCGCTGACCATGAGCTGACAGAGGTCACATCTTGGCTAGAATTTGCTTATGCTCAAGGTGGGAGAGGATACAGTAAAATGGTGGGGGTGGGGCAGAAGGTAGCCAGAGGAGTGGTATAGGGGATGCATTTACAAAGCTCTTTTCTTGGCTATCCCCCACCCCCATGCCCCTAGTTGTGTCTTTCCCACCTTCCCTGCAGCTCTAGAAAATCCATCCTCCCTGGTGGCCTAGAAGTTAAGTCAGCCTCAGCGCTATCACTGCCAAGGCCTGAGTTTGATCCCCTTCCAGGGAGCTGACCCACATGGCACAGCAGACCTCTCCTGTCTCCCCCGCTGCTCCCCTCAGCAGTGTATTTCGGTCATTCCACCTGTTCTGCTCCCCACTCTGTCTCTAGTGAATCCTCTCACCCACCTGTGCCTCTGACCTACACCCCAGTTCTTGTATGCATAAATAAATAAATACAGAAATAAATAGAAATAAAATACAGCCATTGAATTGTACTGGGAAGCAAAGCAAACTAGAGCCTTTGCAGTGGGGGGTTGGCAGATTGGGGTCACAGACAAGGAATGGAGAGTCTGCTGGGCCTCTTGGAGATGATTGGGCTGGTGTTGGTGTTGCCCTAGGGTTTGTTTGTGAGTGGGGACGGTTGGAGGCTTGGGCACTTGGAGCATCTTTGTCTTTGAGGAAGAGGGGATCAGGGGTGGGGATCCTCTCTAGAAAGGGAGGGGGGTGGAACTGCATTGTTATCTGAAGATATATGGACAGAGCAGAAGCTCCTTCTAGTCCTGGTATTAGGAAAGGTGAGGAGGGGTCCTGACTCCTCCCAAGTCCATAGACTCCCCTGCCTTCTCTCCGTCTTTCCCAGGGCCACAACGCCAAGATTGAACTTGAGCATCTACTGTGGTACCCTGGGGGCCATGAATGCGTGGAACTAGAAAGGCTCCAGGAATGCAAACACTGGTGGAGGGAGCTATTGGAAATGGGGGCTAGAGAAGGGCTTCATAGTTACAGTTACATAGAGACAGTTATCTGTCATCCAACACCCCAATGATACCTCTGCCCAGGTTGGCGAGGGGAAGGTGAGCATTCACTTTCCTGTGCTCTGCAGTGGCATCTCAGGCAAGGGCTCTGTAGAAGGGGAATCCTGGAAGGGGAGGGCCAGACTTCTTGGTCCAAGCTTCCCCCAGGACCCAGTTGCAGCAGCTTTAGAAAGCCTAGGCCCCATGCTCACTGCCCTCCCCACCATCTCTCAGAAGGCTGCACCTCTGATTCTCCGGGTATCCCATAGCTGGAAGGGCCCGGGGTCATCTGATGCCTCTGTTCCATCCTAGGCCCTTCCATTCACCCACACCCACCTAGCCTGTTTGGGTACTGCCCACCCCTGAGAACATGTACCTCTTCTGGCTCAGGCTGGACTCTGATCCTCATATGCCCTTCCCATCCCACAGTGCCTTGGGGGCTGTGTAGTGCCGAAGCTCTTTCTCATCCAGGCTCTCTGGACTTGGAGCTCTTCAGCAGGCGGGCTGTTGTTGGTTTGGAGGTATACTTAGATGGGGATCCCTTCACTGGCGGCTGCATCCCCTGGGCAGCCAGCAGCCTCCTTTGTCCTTGTGGTAGGCTCTGGATTTTCTCTGTGTGCTTCGAGGTGAACAGGGTTGGGAGGCACCTAAGCTCGGGCTCTGCCCTTACTCCTTTAGAGCAGGAGTCAGCAAATTCTGAAATGGAGCCAAGACCTCACCATGCCTGTTAGTATCAATTTCATGTTGTAGAGCACAGCCTCACTATTCTTTTGTGTTGTCTACAGCTACTTCATGCTATAATGGCAGAGCCCAGTAGTTGCAACAGAGACAATGTGGCTTGCAGAGTCTGAAATATTTATCATTTGGTCCTTCTAACAAAAGTGTTTGGCCATGTCCCACTGAGTAAAATGGATTGGTATAGAAGATCCCTGGTTGAAGGGAAGTAGGGGTTCTGCAGCCCCAGCACTACTCTGGGACTCTGGGATTCCATGAGAGGGGTGTGAGGACCTCCGCTCCAGATCTCTCCTCTATATTCTTTTTTTTTTTTTTTTTAATAGAGGCATGTTTTATTTATTTATTTGTTTGTTTGTTTATACATGCACTGGGTACAGTCAGAAGCGCGGGAGGGTGAGAGAATTCACCAGAGCCAGAGCAGGGAGCAGAGCAGGCAGAAGGACTGAAGTACACTGCTGAGGGGAGCAGCGGGCGGCAGGAGAGGTCTGCGCGCCATGTGGGACCCTCCTCCTGTGGCCGGGGAGCAGCCGGGGATGGAACCGGTGCCGCAGAGGCCGCGGGCAGCTTTGCAACCCAGCGCTCTACCGCTGCACCACCGGGGAGGCCCTCTCCTCTATATTCTTAAGCCAGGGGCACAGAGAGTGTCCCGTCCTGCCACCAGGAACACTGTGTGAGCCAATTCACGGACTCAGCAGGTCTTCACTGTCACAGTCTCCCACCAGACCCCAGAATGGGACCTAGGGGCAGCTGGCAGCCCAGGGGTCTTCTCTGGTTGGGCTCTGAGGAGAAGGGGAATGGGCATTCTCTAAGTCCCAGACCCTTAGAAGCTGGGAGCTCTCCAGACCATCTGACCTGGAACCTGAGGGTGTAGAGAGACCCTGTCCCAGAGTCCTAGTCCCCCAGCATGACTTCCAGCCTGTGCCTGCCTGTTGCCTGCCATTGTCTCTGGTCATTAACCTCTCCTCACTTTGAGGATGGGATTAGATGCTGCTACTGACCTTTGGGGGTATTGTGAGCCTGACCTGTGTGCCCTGGGAGTGGGACTGAGGAGGGCCAGGGCCGATAGTTCTTTTGTACCCCTTCCCTCAGGAGGCTGTGCAGAGGTTGTCCTGCAGACCATGAACTGAGTGCTGGTGCCAGACCGTTCATGAGCACAGCGTAAGGTGTGCCGAGACTGCCACCCAGCGACCCCCTCCCTTCCCTTGCACTGAGGATTCCCCAGAGAAGATGGGGAGGAAAAAGATTCAGATCCAGCGAATCACTGATGAGCGGAACCGACAGGTCAGGAGGGCCTAGAGCTGGAAAGTGGGGGGCAGGAGGCTAACCTCTCTCTAGAAAATCCATCCTCCCTGGTGGCCTAGGAGTTAAGTCTCAGCCTCAGCACTATCACTGCCAAGGCCTGAATTCGATCCCCTTCCAGGGAGCTGACCCACATAGTGCAGCAGACCTTCTCACCACTCCAGAAGGGTTTCCAGAAGAAGGGGGCTCTAGGAGATGCCGTGAAAGGGGAAGGGATCCTCACCTACCTGCAGCTCCCAGAACTTCCAGCCTAGTCTACTGAGACAACCAGATGGACCTGTGCCCCAACCTAGAGCAAGCCTCAGGCCACGCCCAGGCACTCCCTTTCCCAAGAGAATTCTTGTCTTCCTACCTCAGGGCGAGCCCTTCTGTTCTCCTTCCTTGACCTCTGTATAGCCCCCAGCACAGAGATGTGGAGCTGTCCCTCTGACTCCTCTACCGCAGAGAAATGTCTCTTGGCCATGTGCGGTAGAGAGGTGTTCGCCTCTCCTTTCCCACACTGGGGGCCCCTGTAAACAGGGCAGTCACCTTGGGAATAGGAGCTCCTGAGGGAGGGACTGTGTCCAGCTGCCTGTCAACTGGACCTCCTGCGGAAGCCTGATAGAGCCGGATTTGGCCTCTCACCTGCCCACTTGCAGGTGACGTTCACCAAGCGGAAGTTCGGACTGATGAAGAAGGCCTACGAGCTGAGCGTGCTGTGTGACTGTGAGATCGCACTCATCATCTTCAACCACTCCAACAAGCTGTTCCAGTATGCCAGCACCGACATGGACAAGGTGCTGCTCAAGTACACCGAGTACAACGAACCGCATGAGAGCCGGACCAACGCCGACATCATCGAGGTGGGCCGTGCGCACGTGTGTGTACACCTGCCCACTAGCCCCTCACCTGTGCACACGCAGAAACCCACATCCTCTCACACAGCCCTGGCTGGAGGTGGAAGGAGGGCAGTGAGGTAGCTCTCGCGCGGGCCTGCCCATTCTGCTTTCTGAGTCTGTCTTCATGTCTGCCGGGCCCAACAGACATCTCACTGCTCGTCTCTCAGATTCTTTCTGTGCTCCCTTTGGTTTGTCTTGCACTGGTCCCTTTTCTTTCTTTGCCCCTTCTTTGTTCCCATTTCTGTCACGATGTCTCTGTCCCTTTGTGGGTTCCTGTGATTCTGTTTTCTCTTTCAAAGAGCCCAGACATGGTAAACTGCTACAGGACATGGCTTAGGACTCGAGCTCTGGCCTTTACTGGCCACATGGCCTTCGGCTGGTGGTGCAGCCTATTTAAGCTTTGGTGCCCACCTTTGTGAAGGGGGGCCAAGGACTGCTTTGAAGAATGTTGTGTGATTTGATTAAGATATCCTGATTCCCACTTCTTAAGACATGGTGTTTGTGCCTTGGGGCACAAAACGTGTGCTTATGAAGGGGGTGTGGGAAGCCACATCCCATCTCCCTTCTTGAAGTGAGACTTTAACTCAAAAATCTGGAATAAATTCTTTTATTTTTGTATTAGAGAAAACAGATTTACTCTAGACTAGAATATAAAATTTGCATTTATTTTAAAGACCAAACAAGCATCTGTGAGGATATTTTGAGTACAGAGTAGGCAGCTTTGGGGTCTAGCCCAGACCCACCAGGTGTATCCCTACTTTGTTCAGATCACCGCAGTGGACAGGTGTGGGAAAAGTTGACCTCTGGGCAAAGATAGTATGGGGCGGTTCGCAGTAGCAACTCAGCAAATGCAGAGAAATGCTGTGTGCCTTTCCCTCCCTAACCCCCCCCCCCATCTCTGTTTCTCTTTCTCCTCTTGTCTAAGCTGACCCCAGGGATTGAGCTGGGCAAAGCCAGGCATGACCACCTTCCCCTGGGGAATACCTGATGCACCAGCTCCTCAGCCTATTGCCCAGAAGCTCCCACCCCTTCTGTTGTCTTGGAAGCACCCATCTCTGCTTTACATTTTCCCGGTTAGGCCTACTTTCCCTGAGCCCCCCACCCCCATGGTGATGTCTCTCCAAGGAGCCATTTCTTCACACACAACCTCCACTCCAGAGGGGAGGGTGACAGTGAGGGAGGGACTGGGGAAAGTGTGGGGGTCTTAGGGAAGGGCTAAAAGGAACTCCTGAGGTAGATGGGGGAGGATCCTCATCCCTGCTGATGGTGGTGGTGGTGGTGCGGTTACAGACCCTGAGGAAGAAGGGCTTCAACGGCTGCGACAGCCCGGAGCCTGACGGGGAGGACTCGCTGGAGCAGAGCCCCCTGCTGGAGGACAAGTACCGGCGCGCCAGCGAGGAGCTGGACGGGCTCTTCCGGCGCTATGGGGTGAGCCCCACTCACTCTCTCTCTGTCGGCCCCTTCCGGCCCCTCCCCCAGGCGCTGCACAAGAAGCACAGGGAATGTGAGAGCCCTGAGGTGGACGAGGTGTTTGCCCTGACCCCCCAGACGGAGGAGAAATATAAAAAGATAGACGAGGAGTTTGATAAAATGATGCAGAGTTATAGACTGGCCGTGAGTAGTCGCATGGAGGAAAGCCTCCCTGTGGTGCATGGTGTGGCTTCGCGCCCTGCCCGGCCCTGATGGATGTTCTGCTCGGAGCCATGCTGGGGCTTTGGTGATCACTCAGGAACCTCTGACCTTGGTTGTGATAAACCTGGGACCCTTGCTGAGACTCATCTTGTATGGAGTATAACCAGGAGAGGCTTGGAATGTCCCTCTACCAACAAAAGTGTGTAGATGAAGCGAGATCCTTAGATGACAGGGAAGTAGAGAATGTGTGCTCTTTATCCAGATCTTTTTGGGGGAGAGGTCTCCTTGGGCCTTCACTGACGCCCCCGCCCAAGGTACTCAGTAGTGTTTGTAGGGAAGCAGGGACTGCTAAGGGGAAAGCAGTGAGGTGGGGATGAATGCCCTTTGCAGTAGACCTGGTGGGTTGCAAGTGACATGGTGCCCTGATCCACGGTGCAGGCCTTAACAGCTATGTGTGTGAGTTTGGGCCTATACTTAGGGTCTCTAACCTGCTCCCTGTGTGTCCTGCCTGGCTGAGGACTAACCCGCCTCCACTAGGATGGTTCCAGGTGTCTCTGGTCCTGTCTGCAGTGATTAGAGCCTTGCTCTCATTTTCTGGGCCAGAACTGGCTCCCAGAGCATTCTCACTAATGTTCTTCCATCGTGGGAGTGACAGGCAGGACTCCAAGAGGGCCCAGGGCACAGAAATGGAGCTGCTGGACCTTGGATGCACAGCCCAGAGATTAGAACCCAGCCTGCCCTTCCACATCAAATGGGTCCAGGGTAAGGGATTGCCCTCACCTCACCCTGCGTCTCCATTTTCTATTTAGTCAGCTGTCCCAGCCCCCAACTTTGCCATGCCTGTCACGGTGCCCGTGTCCAATCAGAGCTCACTGCAGTTCAGCAATCCCAGCAGCTCCCTGGTCACCCCTTCCTTGGTGACATCATCCCTCACGGACCCACGACTCCTGTCCCCCCAGCAGCCAGCACTACAGAGGAACAGTGTGTCTCCTGGCCTGCCCCAGCGGCCAGCCAGTGCAGGTGAGTGGGCTGGAAGATGGAAGGTGGGTGGAAATGAGTTGTAGTGGGGACTTTGGGATCCCATTTTCTACATTATTCTCCCATTATGTGGCTTCTCCAAGGGAAAGACTATTGACCCCTCCTCTGTTCAGATCCCAGAATTCCCTCTGGAAGGAAGGGAGTGACCTGTCATCTCATCATGATGGTTTTTTCCTCCAGGGGCCATGCTGGGGGGAGACCTCAACAATGCTAATGGAGCCTGCCCCAGCCCTGTCGGTGAGCAGCTGCCCTCTGCCTGGGGAAGGGGGGTCTGGCTCTTCAGCGTCCCCAGGGGACCAGGGACCAGGAAAAAACCCAAATGAGAGGAAAGGAAGATCCCAGGGGCTGAAATGAATGTAGAGTTTGAAGATTTTTTTTTTTAATTCAACAGTGAGGAAACAAATTATTTTATTATTAAAGACTTACTTTTATTTATGCATACAAGAACTGGCGTGTAAGTCAGAGGTACGGTGGGCAGTTGAGGGGCTGAGAAATTCACTGGAGGCAGAACAGGAGGATCTAATGAAATACACTGCTGAGGGGAGCAGTGGGCAAGACAGGAGAGGTCTGCTGCGCCATGTGGGTTCTCTCCCTGATGGGGGGGATGGAACTCATGCTTCAGCAGCTGCTGATAGCTTGATAGTGCTGACTTTAACCCCTGCGCTACCAGGGAGGCCCCAGAGTTTAAGGATTTTTAAGTCCTAGATTTTTTGTGTGTAGCAGCGATTGGTATGATGTTCAGCAGAGATGTAGGCTCAGGAAATTCTGGGCAAACTGTGAGAATGGACCAGCGCTTTTAGTTGGAGGAGATCATCCTCATTGTTCCAATTGAGTGGAGACCTGGAGGATGTGAATACCTGGTGTTGCCGATGGCTTGCACGTGCTTACACACGCAGACCCTCTCACTCTTGTGGAAACATCCAGACATCAGATGTGCACTGTGAGCACATTCTGTGAACCACAGAAGAAAGGCCACCATCCCACCCCACCCCACTCCCGGCAGCTGAAAGCACCCCCTGCGTGTGTTGCTGTCCGGCTGGTGACTGTAACTTCGAATGTCAGCATTGACGTCAGCCTGACATTCCTACCATTCCCAGAGTGATCCGGGAATTGGGATGGAGGCAGACACACACTCCCAAATGTGCTCCCAAGGGACAGAGCAAGGTGACATTTCTGACTCTGGGCACCCCTACATCTCTGGATTTTAGAATGCCCAGCTTATCCATAGGTGCCATATAATACTGGGGTCAGGAGTGGGAGGAATGGGTGAACCCTCTTTTTTCCAAGGAGAGAGACAGAGAAATGCTTGCAGACCTTAAGGAAGCAGTGATGCTTATGGGCCCTCAACCCTAGCATTTGAGAAGTGAGTGACGAGCTCTAGCTTGGCTTCCAGCCCACTGTTTGACACTGGATGAGTCATGGCACCTCTGCCAACCAGGCCTCCAGTCTCTTCTAAACAGGGCTAATGATACACGCCCTGTTTGTCTTACAGGCTTGCTGTGAGCATTAAATGAGATAATGTATGTGTGAAAGCCCTATGCAGATTGTGGCATGTGGAACAAATATAAAAGATAGTTATTAATGCTTGTTATTACCAGTCTCATTATGGTGGTGACTGGTTATTAGTCCCCCAGTGCCAGTAGCATCACTACCACCAGTGAATGGCTTGTGCTCCTCAGAGCTGTGTGCATCTTGCCATGTGCTGATCCAAATCACAGCATTCCCGAAGGGAGCAGTCTGAGTAGCTTGTTTGCCCTAGTGATGAGGATCCTCACTGAGGCTCAAATTCCAGGCTGGTACCCCTTCTCCATCCTGGGTCATTGTGAACCTGATTAGGGCCAAGTTGTGGGGTTGGGCGATGCTGGACTTCCTGTCCATGGAGACCAGAGAAGAGGTGGGGAGAGACTTGGTTGCAGATGCACTTCGCAGCCATTGCCGTTTCTGGTTCTTCCCACAGCGTCAGCTCCTACTGCCAGCCCCATAGTTTTGATTCAAAAGTAAGGGATATTCTCCCTCTAGTACTAAGACGAGATGGTTTTATGGGAATATTGGAGAACTTGGTGCCCACTTGAAGCCTGTGCATGGTTTTGAAAAGGGCTGGGTGATAGGAGTGTTGTCTTGGGGACAGTGAATGGCTAAGGGTAGGTCTGCTTTTTTCCTTCCCCCTCATCTCATCTCTTCTCTAGGGAATGGCTACGTCAGTGCTCGGGCTTCCCCTGGCCTTCTCCCTGTGGCCAATGGCAACAGCCTAAACAAGGTCATCCCAGCCAAATCTCCGCCCCCGCCCACCCACAGCGCCCAGCTTGGAGCCCCCAGCCGCAAGCCCGACCTAAGGGTCATCACTTCCCAGGGAGGAAAGGGGTTAATGCATCACTTGGTGAGTAGGTGTTGGATTGAGGGGCAAGGCCTGGGCAGTGGGAGAGTCAGGAAAGGGCTGGAGGTGACCTCCAGCAGGAGAGATGAAGGTTAACCTGCAGTCAGGACTTCCCAAGAGAGATCATGAAGCCTGGCTTTTCATAGACTCTTTGTTCCCAGAGGGCCTTACAAGAGCTTGGAAAACAGGAAAACCAACCTTAAGAACAGTAAAAAGAGGCAAGAAGTGGGAGAGAAGGTTCTGTGATGGGAGGATAACAGGATGGACTTGCCATGGTAGCAAAGGGACGAGATTAGATGGTGAGGATTTGCTAACTGGTAGACAGTGGGATGTAGCATCTTCCGGAAATGAGTTAGGATAATGAAAAACTCTACTACTAGGCCAGGAAGAGCCATCCTGTTCCTATGCAAAAGGGGAGCTGGCTTGGCCTTGGGGGAGGGGTGTGAGGGGAGACCAGAGACTGAACATCCCTTGGTTTTATTTCTGCTCCCAGACTGAGGACCATTTAGATCTGGTAAGTGAAACTGTGACATGTTTGCTGTAGCTTTGAATTCTGGGGCAGTTCATGACTTTGTGGTCCCCAGCATGACGTACATCTGTACCTTCATCCTTTCACCTGTGTGTGTAGTGTTTGTTTGCCAGGATCTTAGCTCAGTGCCAAGTGGGATACAGAGGTGACTGGGGTGGGGGAGAGGGGTTAAACGTGCATGTGAGTGCGCCTGTGTGTACATAAATGTCCTTATGTGATGTCGCATTCAGACAGACACCCTATTCTCTTTGTATGTGTGTGTGAGCACATAGGCGCACCCAAGAGGAGGGGACCGGCCTCGAGCCTCAAAGATTTCATCTTGATGAGGCCCTTAGATCAGGGCTGGACATTATTTGCCCTGTAATTCCACTGAAGCCCACCAAGCGTTCTTGGAATTCAGGACAGAGACCTCCTTCCGAGGGATGCCAGAAAGCAGAAAGACACTACAGTTGCTTTTTCAGGGGTAGCTAAGGCCTAAAGCAAGGCCAGAATCATGGGGGTGGAGGGGGAGGAGGACTTCCCCGCCTTCCCTCTCTCTCCCTCCTCACACCACCTGTCTCACCGGCACTGAGGCATACACCGCCTTACTCTCTCACATACACACTTACATACTCCCCCTCAGCCAGGAGCGGGGCGGGGGCTCCTCCCTCCCCAACTCCCTGACGGAAGGCCAGAGAGGCTGAAAAAGGCAGGCACGCTTTGGCGGCCAACACGGCGGCAGTTTCGGCCCCAGCGTGGAGTTGGAATAAACAAGTGACTCAGCGGCAGATGGAGCTGACAGCCCCACACACGTGTGTGCATACACGCAGGCACACGCCATGCCGGGCCCCGCATTCCCCTCACAGATGCCAGCACACTGCTCCCAGGGCGTGTGCTGCAGTGTGATGGATGGAGAGCAGGCTGCAGAGGGACGTGCCAGAAGTGTCTCTCCCTCTCACCAGCTTCTCTAGGGGACTGGGGATCCCTGTTGGAGTGGGGGCCCCTAGGCTGGTATATATGCCATCTTCTGCATACATGTAGGTGGGAATGAATCTGTGTGTACGTGTTCTCATAGATCTCAGTGTCTCTGTGAAAAGCATGAACATGTGTTTGTATAATGCAGCCTCTATGCCGAGATATCCCCTTGGGCCTGGGAATCCAGGAATCCCAGCGTGAACTTGGGATGGAGGGGAGGGGCCGGGACAAAGCAGTCCACCTACCCATCTGCTACATCTTAACAGATAATTTCTCCTGCAGAACAATGCCCAGCGCCTTGGGGTCTCCCAGTCTACCCACTCACTCACCACCCCAGTGGTTTCCGTGGCAACACCAAGTTTACTCAGCCAGGGCCTCCCCTTTTCTTCCATGCCCACTGCCTACAACACAGGTGAGTATTGGTAGGACCTAAAGGTGACTGTTTGGGGGCAGGGGAGAGCCCAGAGAGAGAACATGAGATATTCCTTGGAGGAGACCCCCACTTGAGGAAGGTCGATGATCTTGAGGAACCCCCACCTAGTTATGATTGCCAGACTTAGCAAATAAATATGGAATGTTAACTCACTTCAGATAAAAACTGATGGATAATTTTTAGTGTGTCTCAAAACATTCTTCTGCTAAAGTATGTCCTAAAGATACACTTATGCTGAAACATTATTTGTTGTTTTTTCTGAATTTAATTTTATGTCCTTGATTTTGAGTGTAGAACCTAAGAGAGAAGGGAGGCTTTGTCCTTAGGGAACCTCCCATCTGAGAAGTAGCCTTTGGGCTGAGCAGATGATTCAGGCCAGTCATGGGGAGGAGACTATGGTCAGTTCAGCAGGACTTCCTGGAGGAAGAGGCCGAGGAGGCCAAAGAGGAAGGAAGGTCAGGAAGATTTACCCCAGCTTCCTGGGGAAGCTAAGTACAGGATCAGGGGAAGGAGGAGGCAACCCTGATTTTGCAGGGGGAGGGAGGGGGAAGGATTGAGACTGATGAAGGCTGCATCTCTGGGTAGAAGAATTCAGACAGGACACCCAGTGCCCAGACTTTTCCTGGGTCTTCAAGGTTGTCCTGACTTGTATCACCCGCTCATAGCCTCCTGGGAACAGTCTGTGACCCTCTCAACCGTCCTTGCCTGGACTCTCTGTCAGGATTTCCCAGTGGGGAATATCCTGTCTCCTATGTCAGTCTTTCTGTGTCTGGGGAAGTTGATCTACTCCCAGCTGAAGAGACCTCTGCCATTCCCCAGGTTCTCCCTTGAGTGGATAAGATCAGACTAGACCAAAAGACTCCACCTTTCTCCCCCAGCTCCTATTTCAGAGAGTCAAACCATGTCGGGTCCCAGGCACCAGTATCGGTACCTACAGAATCCCACCTCTTCCCCATGTGTAAAAAATCAAAACCCAGCCCTGTGCAAAGGAAATCCCCAAGGAACCGTCTCCTGATGAGGGGGCAGGCTCTGCAGGATGGCTGTCCAGATTTGATCTCTCAGATGTCGTCAAACCCCCTTGGCACCTGTGTGTGCTGCCCTGAGTCTACCCACTCCCACATTATGATGTCCTTGAGCCACTTTAGGTGTTTTAGGTGGCCACACCTCTGGGCCCAGTCTTGTTTGTTTGAGCTGTGAATGCAGGAAGTCTCTGAGGCACTTCCAGTCTTGCCACCCAGGGATCTGGGACCTGCCTAAAAAAGCCAGTGCGGTGAGGGCCGGTGGGTGCTTGACAGAGGATAACACAGAACTACCTCTTGGGGCTGTTGTTTATTTGAGAGTCCTGTGGTAGTTTTCTGCCATCTTCTCGGGTGCTAGCCAGTCTTAGTGAAGAAGTAAGGAAGTTAGTGGTGTCAGTGAGTGCAGGACAGGTGCTCCTCAAGGCCAGGCATTCAACTTTGTCAGTCCATTGTGAAGCAGATTCTGATCTGGCCCTGCCCTTGGAGGCTTGCTAGGAAGTATGTGGGCTTTCTCACATCCTCAGAAACAGGGGCTCCAATTCCTCTTGCTGTGGGAGGAGTGAAGCAGACATCTGATGAAACAACGGGTGTTTTCAGGTACCAAAGGTATATAAACAAAACCCTGGCGAACACATTGCTGTCTGATTGTTCACAGTTTACAGTCCTTGGCCCTGATTCAGGTTCCGGCTAGGGGTGATCAGGCCGTGGTGATGTCTTGGGTGAGGGACCATCCTGGCCCGTTGTTGACATTGGCTGCAGAGATGACTGATTGTTCTAGGAGCAGACCAAATGGACTGCCTGGTGGTCTGTGGGTATGCTAGTCCTGGGCCCAGAGAGCCAAACCTTTAGTAGATAAGGCTGGGCTGTGTTAGAAAGGTAGGGGACCAGGCTTGGAGCTACCACTCACTCTCACGGACACTGGGCAAGTTCAATGTATTTTCTGAGATTTTGGCTCCCCTGCTTATAAAGTGAGTGTTGGAAATAGTTGGCCCTATATGCCCCTTTCTGCCCTTAATCTGCTTTTTAAATAAAACATTCAAAGCTCCTGACTAATTGTTGTTGTGAGTCCAGAGGCAAGCATGGGCCACATCTAGGGTGAGATTTAAGGTTAACATAGAGTCCTGGAGTCTTGTCTTACCTCTCCCTTGGCTTTCTCTCTGATCTGGGCAAACTTGAGACTGTAGTTGTCTCATTTGTAAAGTAATAATGACAGGTAAATCTGATGAGTTCTCCCGACTCCATTCTACATGCTTCATGTGTGTTAACTCAGTTTGTCCTCACAACAGCTGTATGATGCAGGCAGCATTGTTTATAGACAGAGAGTAAATAACTCGCCCAAGGTCACATGACCTCTAAGTGGAGGTGGCCAGGAAGCTTGACCTCACACTCTGCCCTTAACCTTACTGTTCTATGGCAGGGGCTGGGGTGACAGTCCCGGCAGTGAGCGTGGTGGTGTGTAGTGAGATGACAGGGATGTGCTTCCCCCATGACAACATGCCCTCCCGCCACTGAATTCCTCAGGGAAGACATTTTCTAAACTGTCCCAAACAGGATGCAGCCTGAAACATAGCAGTGCCATGTGAATCGTGAAAGGTTTCATAGTTCTGTTTGTTCTGGCAGCATGTACATCACAGTTTCTTCATTAAGACAGAATTCTTAGGAAATAATGAGTACCACCTCCCGGAGCTCTGCCAGAGTGCGGCAGGAGTGTTTCCCAACAGCCCCCTTGCTCCCACAGGCCCTTCAGGGTGGCACATATGTGTCCTCTGTGTGTGTGCATGGGTGCAGCGGCTTCAGCCCTCGCTGCCACTTAGTTTACGTGTTGACAGTCTAGGAGACTCGATGAGATGATCGTCACGGCAATTTGTTCCTGGTGTGACATTCATTCATTGCTCCCCCCATCCCAAAAAGGCACTTGAAGACTTTGCAGTTGGAGAGATAACAGTTAGACATATATTAGACCTTTCCTACTTAACTTTTTTCCCTTTCTTTTCTTAAATTGACATTTACTACATGCGGTTAAAAAAAAAAAATTAAATACTATTTTTAAAAAAAACCTCTTTTCATCCTATTTAACAGCACCTCATACTTATTACGATTTGCATTTCTTAACTCTGAGTGCCATCTTCACTGAATTTGTATGAGTTTATTATTCACATCTGTCATTAACAACCCCCCATCTCCCAGGCCCTCCTGGAGACTCCCCCTTGGGAGCCTCAGTCCTCTGTTTCCCCACCCCATGCAGATTACCAGTTGACCAGCGCAGAGCTCTCCTCCTTACCAGCCTTCAGTTCGCCTGGGGGGCTGTCGCTAGGCAACGTCACCGCCTGGCAACAGCCGCAACAGCCCCAGCAGCCACCACAGCCGCAGCCTCCGCAGCCCCAGCCGCAGCCGCAGCCCCAGCCACCCCAGCAGCCGCAACAGCCACCTCAGCAGCAGCCCCACCTGGTCCCCGTGTCTCTCAGCAACCTAATGTGAGTCCTAGGGGGTTCCATCTGAGTGTTTGGGAAGGGAGAGTTGAGGGGTGGGAAGAGGGTCCTCTTGAGAACTGGGTTCCCACTGAGGTTGTCGTTAGTGGATAGTATGTCAGGCACTAAGTGGCATCCCTTTACAGGACTGGGAGACCACCCTGAGCCCTTCCCCAGCCCGCCCCTGGGTGGGGTCCCCCCCCCCAGACTGCAGAAGATGGCGTGGTATAGAAAGAGAACTAATGTATTTATTTCCCTTCTTTTCCCACTTCACCCTCTCTCCTCTGGTCTCTGTCTCCATCCACTTGTCTATTACCTGCTCCTGACCCCGCCTTCATCTTCCTATTCTCTGTCCTTTCTCACTGTCTGTCTTGTGACCTCTCATCAATTTTTCTCTTTACCTCTTTTGTTTCTGCTGCCTGTGCCCCATCCACATCACTGTTCTCCAGCCCGGGCAGCCCCCTGCCCCATGTAGGTGCTGCCCTCACGGTCACCACCCACCCCCACATCAGCATCAAGTCGGAACCGGTGTCCCCAAGCCGGGAGCGCAGTCCTGCGCCTCCCCCTTCAGCTGTGTTCCCAGCTACCCGTCCTGAACCTGGCGATGGTCTCAGCAGCCCTGCTGGAGGCTCCTATGAGACAGGGGACCGGGATGACGGACGGGGGGACTTCGGGCCCACACTGGGCCTGCTGCGTCCAGCCCCAGAGCCCGAGGCTGAGGGCTCAGCTGTGAAGAGGATGCGGCTGGATACCTGGGTACTGTAGCATCACCTTCTTGTCTGCCAGTGTCTGCTGCACCCAGGGACTGCCCCCTGTGCCCCAGCCTGTCTTATCTCCCACCTCAGAGGCCTTGTGGCCAGCTAGCCCTCCATCAGCCCTCTGGATCAGCACCCACGCCCTTTTGCCCCCTCCATCCAGCATCAGTCTTGCCCGATGACTCGCCCCTCAGAGCTGGCCCTGCTGCCAGAGTCCTGGTCCTATGGGGAGATGGGAGTGGGGGTGCATACCCCATAGCCTGGGCCCCCCCTCATACCCCCTTCTCCATCTCCTCTCTTCACAGACATTAAAGTGACGATTCCCACTCCCCTCCTCTCAGCCTCCCTGATGAAGAGTTGACAATCTCACCGCCCACCCCTCCCTGTCCTGGCCTCTTCCCGCTCGACCCCCACTTCCTTTCTTGTGCTCCGTGTCCTGTTGACGGTTACATTTGTGTATAATTATTATTATATTATTATTATTATTATATTTTTTTTAATTTGGATTCTCGCTTTGGAGAGGGGATGCTTCCATCCCCTCTTTCTGCCCCCCCCCCACCATTTTCACTGGCCGGGGGGAGCTCTTTTTTGCGGGAAGGGGGGGACACTTTGCACGTTGTACACATATGCTGCAGGAGGGGGTGGGGTCCGATAGGCCTTTGGGAAAGGACAGGTGCGGAGCCCTGCATGCGGAGCCCTCCCACCCCATCCCCCAGATAGAGGGAAATAACCAAAAAAAATTACCAAACAACAAAACCCCTTACAATAGACTGAAACCCCACAGTCAGCTTGACAGATGGGTTCGTGTTTCAGGGGGAAGGTGAGGCTAAGGTCCTGCAAAGGATCTCTGCTTCTGAGCTGTTCCCGTGGCCACAGGCATATGGGGCAGAATACCCAAGTCTGGGCACCAGTGGCCCTGCAGACACACAACACACACTCGCTGATTCTTGTGTGAACTGCACCCTCAAGGTGTGGAGGTGCTGGCCAGGCGTTGGGGCTGGGAAGACTGCCTGGGAATCTGAGACTGGGATGGGGAGGGTGTGGGATGGAGGCTCCTGAAGCACATTTGGGAAGAAAGACAGAGCCATGAGGAAAGGGCTGAGGGGGGCAGAGGGCTGGGGCAAGGGGTAAGTGGGGTCCCTCCCTTCCCCAGCGTTTCCTATAAGATATACAGTGCAATAGCTCCCGGTCCCTCCGTTGGCCCCAGCCCTACAATGCTGGCCGCACAGTACAGGGAGAATTGGGGAGAGGAACTCTAGTGAGGTGGCTTAACAGGAGACGCCCTGGGCCCCTGAGGACCGTACCTTTCATCCAGGGGCAAGTGTGAGTGAGGGGGTGTCCTCTTCCTTGCACGCACACATCCCCAGAGAGCAGACGTGGGTGGGAGAAGGGGCAGGATGGAAGAGGGCTGCAGGAGGCCTGCCTCTCTTCATCCCTCCTGGCCCCTCTCTCTAGCCCTCCTCCGAGCTCCTTCCACCCCTGACCCACCTCTCTGCTCTTGGCGCCCTCATTGTCTCGCTACCTCCTGTCCCACCACCCTAGGCCGCATCCCACCTTCCCTCTTGGCTACTGTAATTGTAAATAGCAACCTTTGGAAAACGTTAGCAGTGTAACAGTCCAGGAAACTGTTTTTTTTTGTTGTTGTTGTTGTATTGATATGAAATGAGATTCTATTTTTGTCAAAGTATATTGTAATAATAATGACTCAAACGGCCCGTACTGTACAGACAAGATTCTTCTGCTGTTGTTCTTGCTCCCCTCCCCCGAGTCTGCCCCTCTCTGCTGCCTTCCAAGTGGGGTGGCCGAATCATGGGGTCCTGAGACCTCGGATGGATCACAGATCAAACCAGAGCTGGCAGGCCCCTATCCTGCTCTCCACCACCACCACCCCTGCCCTGAGGGGCCAGGCCCGGAGCAGACAGGGGTCTCCCCCACTCCTTCACGTAAGCCCAGCGCCTCTGCCCATGGGGTCAGCACTCCCTTGGGGTTTCCTCCCTGTGGGAAAATAGAGTTAGACAAGGCCCGGTTTTGTGATAGCTGACTGTCGGTGCCGACCTCTATGACCCAGCCACTTGCAGTATTTCAGCACTTGACGCAGGGAAGGAACCAGAAACAGAGGAGTGCATGTGACCACATGTGTGTCTCTGAGTGCGTTCGTGAAGGCATCTGGTGTTCATGTGTCCAAGTATACCTTTGAATTTATGTGTATGTGTGTGGTTGCATGGGTGTGCCGCGGTGTGTCTCTGAGCCTGGCTGGGCATCTAGATGAACCTGTGTGAATGAGCTGTGCGGTATGTGTGGGGTATGTGTGCGCGCGCTTGTGCACATGAGGGACAGGTGGCTGCTGCGGCCATATAGTCCTGGCTTCCAGCTCTGTGACCTTCATGAGCCCCACCCTCTTTTCCTTTCTGCTACTTCACCTGTTGTCATTCAGCTCCAACATGTTTGTACCACAATTAGGGGGGTCTGGCACTTGGCCCTCGTTACTTCTCCCTATAGCCCTACCTCTTTGGGGCTCTTCGCATAAGGATCCTCCCAGCCCCCCTCACCCTTACACACAGCTCCCTTCCCCAGTGTAGCCTTTTCCCTAACCCCAGTCCTGCTTTAGGCTTGAAACTCAAGTTGTTCTTCCCTAAAGCTTTTTCGCCTGCTAGGGCAGTGGTCCTTCCTCACAGATACCCTCACCTGCTGACTGGGCATACGTATGTTGGTCCTCCCACCTCTCCTGTAGTTTCCTAGGGGAGTTTCAGGAACCTATGAGACTTGATCAGGGCCTTAAAGGAAGCCACAGTACGGTCGTTGCATGCATGCATCCCTTGCCAGTGCCTGGCACACAACTGACATGCAGTAAATGCTGAATGGGTGAATGTTTGAATGATAGGTGCTCAATAAACATGGAATGACTGGCCTTCCCTTCTCAGGCTATTACCGCCATCCATCTGCCCACCTTTTTAGACTGGGAGTGGCCACCATTAAACACGAGGTGGGGGTGAGGGCCCCTGCAGTTCACGGTGCAATATTCACCAGTTTTGCCCTCTGCCTTGTAATGGCAAACCTGGCTTTTGATTTCCATGTGTGGATGTGTGTGTCCTTTCTTTATTCCCGGGGGCAGGGGAGTGGTCTGTGAATGAATATGTGACATTTCTGCAATTCAGTATCCCAAGGTTTCTCCTGGAGGTTGGGGCTCCTGGCCAGCCAGATAAATGGGTCCCTGGGAACCCAGACCTCAAGTGGGGAGTTCATTTCTTCTTTCTCTCACAAGCCAAATTTGCCTCCACCCACTCCTTCCTCCGAAGAACTGGGCACTTGCCAAAGTAATCACTGGAGTCATCCAATGCTCCTCCTCCCCTCCCCAGGTTTCCCACGGCTTTCAGGGACAGTGGGCAAGAGGACCTCCCCCCACTGCAAAGGAACACACCATTTCCCCTACCCCCATCAGTGCACTCAATGCAGCGAGACTGACCCCTGATCCTTACCCAGCCCTCCCCACCTTGGACAGGAAGGAAGTAATGCACCTTCTCTTGCTGATTATTTATTTGTTTGGAGAGACAGAAATGATGTAAAAGTGTATCTAGAAATATCTATATCTATATATTTTTAACTGACTCTTTGGAATCCCCTGGGGTGGGGTGGGGTGGGGGTGAGTTTAGGCTTTCATAGAGGGGAGGAGACATGGAGCCTGGGAACTCCTCGTCTCCCCTCTGCCACCTCCTGCCACCCCTAAGCACTTGGTAGAAGGAATGGGATTTGTATGGGGGGAGGGGGGCTAGAATGTTATATGGAGAATCTGGATTCTCTCTGTCTTCTCCATTTCCCCTTTCAGGTGGGGGTGGGGGGGAGAGCAAAGGGGGGACAGGCCATGGAGGTGTCCCACCCCCAAACCCGACAATCACCCACACTCCTGGGGCTCCTCCTGGGTCCTGGGCAGGGCGAGTCCAAGTGTGTGGCTGTTGATTTGTTTTCGATATTTCTTTTCGTGCTGTATGGTGATGCTTTCTTAGTATTCTACACAATAAGAACAGACAAAAAGTCCTCGAGATTCTTATGAGTTTTGTTTGAAAACTCTTTCACTATATTTGTTGTAAAGAGGTTTACTATTAAAAAAAAAAAGAATACACGTTTCTGATACTTTGGCTTGGGTTGTGGTTTCTTTGGTGCGATCGATATAGCTCAGAAGGGGAAGGAAGGACATGACCTCTCCAGGTGGGAAGCCATAGAAGAGCCAGTTAGCCTATGGGGCAAGAGCTTCAGGTGAAGATTTCTTCAGGTGCTCTGTCAGAAGCAAATGCAGCCTCATCACCCAGAAGGGCTATCCGGTTAGGCCCATAGAGGGAATCTGGGGGCACTAGAAAAACCAATACCACCAGAGGTCCGGCTAAAAATGGGATGATGGCAGCAGGAGAGCAGCAGGGCTCTACTGAAAACTGGTCTGAGGAAGCAGGTGTTCCCAGGTTGTGGGCACTGTCGGTACAGATGGATCCACCTCGTGGTCCCAGTGTTCACTCAGCGGGGTCACTGCCTTTCCATCTTTTTCTTTTTGTTTAAGATTTTATTTTTATTTATTTATGCATACAAGAGCTGGCGTGAAGGCCAGAGGTGCAGGGGTTGAGAGGATTCACCAGAGGCAGTGGGGAGCAGAACAGGTGGATCTACTGAAATACACTTCTGAGAGGAGCTGTGGGTGAGACAGGAGAGATCTGCTGCACCGTGTGGGATTAGCTCCTGGTGGGGGATTGAGCCTCGCCCTTCCTCTCACATTCCAAAGGACCCCCCCCTACACACACACTCTCTCTCACACACACACACACACACACACACATACACACACGGTGCCTTTCAGCAGTGGCTCTTCCTCCTCTCTCCACATGCAGTATAGCTATGCTGAGGGCAGACTCAGGGTGGTGGAGAGACCTACAAAAGACTTGACTCACTGCTGTCGGGTTTGGTCACTCCCATACCAGGCCCAGGGTAGGTGCTGCAGAGCCAGAGTGTGAGAGGCCCATATACAGTGGAGACAGGCCTACAAATGCTCCAACACCACATGCTTTGGCTGCTGCAAGAGCACACGGGATTCAGGCAAGTCACAGATATCTTTATGCCCTGGGTGACTTGTGCTGGCCCTGCCTCTCCCAGGGTCACTGCAGACTTCATCTAACCTCCTCCTCTGCCAAAGCAGAAACAAAAAAGGAGCTGAGCAGGAAGGGGTTAACAAGACCTTACCCTCCAGATGAGGTTCCCCTGCTGGTCACCTGTGATAGCTACAGCTTCCAAGATGGCCTCCAGTTACATCAACTTGATACTCAGGGCCTTTTGCAATCCTCTGTCACACTGAGACACGGTTGGTATGTGTGACCAATACAGGACAGCAGAAGTCATGGTACGTGACTTCTGAGCCTCGGTTATAACTTCTACCTGTCTCTGTCTCTTTCCTTACCCCTCTCTCTCATCCTTTGCTCTGGGGGAGCCAGAGGTCATGTGGTGGGACACTGAGGCAGCTCTGTTGGGAGGCCCACATGGCAGAGAACTGAGGCCTCCCACCAATAGCTGTTTAGGAGCCTCCTGTCTGTCCTTAGAGTTTTCAGGCTTCCTCAGACATCACCAGAGATGAGAACCCACTGGTTCCATGTATACTCCAGCTCACCCATGCCCATGAGGTCACTGGAACAGTCTGGACCTAATACCCAAATCCTGGATAAAACTTTTGTTCTTTGTACATCTCATCTCTGCCCCTCCTTCCTAAGCATTGCCCCCTGATATCCTAGGTGGGTCTTAGTATTGTCCACAATTATTTCCCGGATACGCAGAAGACTATTTCCCACTTCCTATGTAGTCGAGAGGGGTCATTGGACTAGTTCTGGCCAGAGGACTGGAATGGGAAGTAATGTGGGTCACTTGCAAGATGAAACTGACTCGTGACTCACCAAGTACTCTTCTGGGTGGGAGTTGTGGAAGCACTTTTGAGCAGCACGGATTGCTAAATTCCATTTACATGTTGTCCAGCCCCATGCTGGGCTTCATGTGAATAGAAAATAAGTGTGTTAAGGGGCCTCCCTGGTGGCACAGGGGTTAAGCTGCAACCTATGAAGCTATCCGCAACCACTGCCATATGAGTTCGATCCCTGGCCAGGGAGCTACCCCCATGGCGCAGCAGACCTCTCCTCACTCACCCGCTGCTCTCTTCAGCAGTGTATTTCAGTCAAATTCGCCTGTTCTGTTCCCTACTCTGTCTCTGGTGAATCCTCTCACCCCCCACACCTCTGGCCTGCACCCCAGTTCTTGTATGCATAATAAAATAAATATTTAAAAAAGAAAAAAGAAGTGTGTTAAGCCACTGAGATTTTAGTATCACACCTTTAATACAACCTATCCTCTGATGGATGGGTCAGGCAACCTTGAAGCTCCATCTTCTGATACCCCTGTAGTGTGGTACAGAAATCTCTGCACTGGGCATAGATCAGAACTAGTTCGGCTCCTAGTTCTGCCACTTAACAGCTGTACAGCCCTAGGTAGTCATTTCCTTGAGCTGCCATTTCAGGAGATGAAAAGCCACCGGTCTTTAATTCCTCAGCCCCCTTTCTCTAGCCCTTCCTCCCCATCTCTACAGCTCTGTTCCTCTAAGGGCTCTCCACTGCCCTCCATATATAGTCTGGAGTCCCAGGCTCCTGTTGGCTCCCAGGGCCTTCAAAGAATCAATAGTCTCTTTTCGAGGCTTAGTCTCCACATCCCAGC